GCGTTTGTTTTTAGTCGCGAATATGAAAATAAGTGTATCGTAAAGTTAGTATTCGGAAGAATAAACCAGTTTTATTAAGTAAGGACTGTGTCGCTTAAGTTTCGTCGGAACGAAGTTACGGAAAGTTAATTAACAAACGGAGACGTAACATTATTTTATACAATTTTGTTCAAGTTGTGTTGTTGAAGCGTAATTTTTTTTTGTAGTAGATTTAACTTAAGTGAGGCCTAAATTCATACTCCAAACCAACAATGCAAAACAGACTTTATAATTATAACATTAAAACAAAAAATTCAAAAAATTGGAGTTGGAAATTATAACTAATAAGATTTATCGACTCTGTGTAGAAAGGATGAAATAGTTATAAATTACTAAAAATGTAAATATATATACCTATATAATAAAAGATTACTAACATGTTTCTATAATTAGAACAATGATATATACATATATTAAAGTTAGGCCATCTTGTAACTGGAGGTTCTCGAGCCTCGGGTTGCAATGGTTTAGTCACAGATAAAGAGACAAGATACAGGTTTTTACACGGAACAAATGTTCATTGACAATTTTACAGATTCAAATACAAACAAAAATGAACTACAATACAATAAACAGGTATAAAGTTTACACTAGAGCAATTAATCTTGTGTTTGTGTTTAAAAAGAGGGTATGGGACTGACAAAACAATGAAGACCTTAATAGGCAAAATGGCTCCTGCTAGTGCGGGGTCTCCCCTTGTAATTTAGGCTAGAAAGTGTCCCCAAGTTAAAATATAAAATAGTACAGTTTACCCTCAATTCAACATCTGCAAGTTTATATTTGAATTGCACTATAACATTAATAATGCTTCCTTTAAATGTATAATTTCGTCCCGCAATCACGTATGTTCACGGCAAACGTACAACTTAAATTTCAACTACAGGCGAAAGCCAAACGGCGCTTGTACAAATCCAATTGAAAGTTAACTGTAAAGTCGCGAGAGGACTTGAGGAGTTCTCGTGTAGGAGTTAAAATTACGGAGATAATGCGAAAATACTGTTTAAATTTCATGTCAAAATATCTGTAAAATCTATGTCAAGCCTAATTTTTGTAATCCTGTGTAAAATCTGCTCTCTCAGGCCCCCAACACTGTCTTAAAGTGATTGATACATGTTAGAAAAGCTGGCCAACGGGCAGTGAAGATCAAGGGCCACTCGCAGTTATTGTTTGTTTCGCCGCTAATTAAAAACAATGTTGTTATTCCTGTAAAAAACAAAAATTAGGCAAGCAGGCTTTTTTTAATCTTTACTTAACCTAGTTCGGGTCTTAAGGAAAGTGAACGTTAGTAACTCGCTTCAGTACTGCTGTCTTTCATGCAGGGAACTTTGAAATACAAGAAAAACTTTACATTTTTTAACTAAAGGGGTGGAAAACATGTCACAAAACTGCATAATACACTATACAGAAAAGTATCACTGAAAATTCACATTCTATTACAGATAATTATAAAGAACAAACAATTCTTAGTTAAAAAAAAGATTTACTAACCTTCCATTCAACACGTATTGACCGAGAACTGGTGGGCGTAAAGTTCACTTCTTGTGGAATCGCTTCTGGGGCTGAAAGATAAAACACGTTGTAGTAAAATATTTCTCGCTCTGGCTGAGGAATAAAGCAACATGTTGTTGAAAAACATTTCTCAGTTTATCTATTTACAAAATGTGTCCATAATAATTTACTTGTACAGAAGACAAAAGCCAGGAGGTGCTTAGAAGCTACTTTGTTGTTGTATATTTTCACAGCGATGGAGTGCTGACACTGTGCCTCTACTTCACAAAGAAATGTCAATAAATTTGTTAACATAACTTTTGAACACCTTCTACATCAATATATTTGTCTACTTATTTTCTAAAGTGTTCAAGAAGCTCTTATATTACAAATTAAAGAATGATTAGGAAATCCTATGTGAAAGTTCGAGATATCGACAAGAAGAATTTGAGTTTCAAGTTATAAACATCGAAAATAAGAGAGAGAGTCATTTCATTGTTTATTTTCTCATTCTGGGCGATTAAAAAATAAATCGTTCTGGCTACAATGTCACAACCATACCTTTGTTGAAATCTTATACTATATAGGTAAAACATTGTTTCCCGAAAAGTATCATGTTTCCTTTATGGTTTTAAACAGTTTCAAGAAATTATTAGATGTTGTTTATTTGCTTAAGATATTTGATTTTCAGATTCATAAAGAAAATCTCTTGCCATATTGTTTTATAAATACAAAATATTTCTAATTTATAGTCCTTGGAACAACAGGAATCATTAACGAAATTCACATAACGTGGCGAATAAGATTAGTAGAGTATTTATGAAAGTAATTATCATTGGGTAGCACCTTTAAAATAAAACCATGCTCACTCTAGGTCTATTATATGCAGGTTTTATAGTAAAACCATGCTCACTCTAGGTCTATTATATGCAGGTTTTATAGTAAAACCATGCTCACCTTAGGTCTATTATATGCAGGTTTTATAGTAAAACCATGCTCACCTTAGACCTAGTATATGCAGGTTTTATAGTAAAACCATGCTCACCCTAGACCTAGTATATGCAGGTTTTTATAGTAAAACCATGCTCACCTTAGACCTAGTATATGCAGGTTTTCACAGAAAAACCATGCTCACCCTAGACGTCGTATATGCAGGTGTTTATAGTAAAATCATGCTCACCTTAGACCTAGTATATGCAGGTATTTATAGTAAAATCATGCTCACTCTAGATATCGTATATGCAGGTGTTTATAGTAAAAGCATGCTCACCCTAGACATCGAATATGCAGGTTTTTATAGTAAAAGCATGCTCACCCTAGACATCGTATATGCAGGTGTTTATAATAAAACCATGCTCACCCTAGACATCGAATATGCAGGTTTTTATAGTAAAAGCATGCTCACCCTAGACATCGTATATGCAGGTTTTTATAGTAAAAGCATGCTCACCCTAGACATCGAATATGCAGGTTTTTATAGTAAAAGCATGCTCACTTTGATCGAGAGTTCTAACGGTCTAGAATAACACGCCCCTACAACCAGGGTTCAACGAAAATCAAACAAACAATTTATTAAACTGTAACAACACTTGGAATAAAATTTAGCACTTACCAAAAAACACAGTTAATAAACACGTGCCTGGCCAGAACTTGATACTAATGTTAACGAACAATAAAACATAAATATCAATGTTAATTATTTCAAATAATGGAATCAGGAAAAAGAACCAGAACAACAACAACAAAAAAAAAAAATTCCAAAAAACAAACAAACCACAACATAATATTCCAAAATCAACTTTCTATATTAATAACAATATCGAGTGACAAACAGCAATAATTCACTAACTATCTCCTGACTCAGCGTTGAAGCATATGGCAGGGTATTTATTCACTGTTAAGTCACGAGAGTACATCTCATGTAATCATAAATTTACATATTAATAACAATATCGAGTGACAAACAGCAATAATTCACTAACTATCTCCTGATACAGTGTTGAAGCATATGGCAGGGTATTTATTCACTGTTACGTCACGAGAGTACATCTCATGTGATCATAAATTTACATAATATTTTGCTACATTAATAATATACCTGTACGTCACCGATAGGGAAGCTGGTGTCAGTTTGATAATACATACATATTTACTCAAAATAAACGTGATTAGCTAGAAGGTGAGTTAACGTTTTAATGTAACTAAAAATTCATATATAAACTAAATGATAGAAGGAAATAATAAATTAATGATAAACAAAACCATAACTAAAAAAGAAAAGAAAAAATGGAATTCGCTATCTCACAAGTTTAGTAGGTTTTTGTGATCAACTTACGTTCGCTGTCGGTTGTGACGTTAATTATATTACTGGAATCACCTGGTCCAAGAGTATTTTGTGCACGTACTCGAAAGTTGTACAAGGTCAGTGAAGAAAGATCCTGGACAGTATACTGATTGGCAGTACTGTCCAGAGATATGACGTCCGTTGATTCATCCCATGATTCTGTGAGGGGAAACAATAAGGTTTATACACAAAGTGTGGGGGGTTTTCACGAAATCTGCAAGCTGTAACTAGGAGATAAAGGTGTAAACGAACCCTCTTAGTAATGTTTAACATGTAGAATCTTAAGACTAGCAAACAGTCGTGTGCAGTTAAACTGTTATAATTGAATATTAACTCCCAAACAAAGTGGTAATAAACGGCGCTGGGAGTGGCCTGGTAGTTACGTGCCCTGTCTGTGAGTCCGAGAATTCGAATTTTGCGTCTCGTTGCCCCAAAAACGGCACTTGCAATTCGGGACCGTGTCTGCACTATAAGAATAACGATCAAATCTCATCACTGGGTCAGGCCAGAAATTGGATGTGGCTGGTGTTGACTAATTGCCACCAGTCCCCTCTGGTCTTTAGAGATGGCTTTTTGCAAATAACCGTTGTAGGAACATTTTAAAATAAACAAGATTTACAACATAATTGGTATATCTCCAGAATTCCGCCCTTAAAAACTAACAACTGATAAAGTTGACTAATACAGCTTTATAAAATTTGAACCGTCTTGTGACATTAGGATTTTTTCTCCATTACTAATCCTGTTGTTAAATTCTACCTAACGCTTTTGCCATTTAAGCAGTTTTGAGGGTTTGAATCTATTAGATCCTTGTGATGTGCAATAGGATGAATCCAAATATCTTTTTTACAGGATTTCACGATTTGTGTTGTATCCAAGACATATCTTAATGGCAGATTAAGTTAAAGTGCAAATCATATAGATTAAGTTAAAGTACAAATCATATAGATTACGTTAAATTACAAATCATATAGATTACGTTAAAGTACAAATCATATAGATTACGTTAAAGTACAAATCATATAGATTAAGGCAAAGTACAAATCATATAGATTAAGGTAAAGTACAAATCATATAGATTAAGTTAAAGTACAAATCACATAGATTAAGTTAAAGTACAAATCATATAGATTAAGTTAAAGTACAAATCATATAGATTAAGGTAAAGTACAAATCATATAGATTAAGTTAAAGTACAAATCACATAGATTAAGTTAAAGTACAAATCATATAGATTAAGTTAAAGTACAAATCATATAGATTAAGGTAAAGTACAAATCATATAGATTAAGTTAAAGTACAAATCACATAGATTAAGTTAAAGTACAAATCATATAGATTAAGTTAAAGTACAAATCATATAGATTAAG